TATTTCCTATAGTAGTTTGATTTGAAAGCACCGAGTAATCCTATTTCATTCTACTTTCATTCCATTGGATAGAATATGGTTGGATGGTTATAAAACCTACTGAAAAAGCAAGAATCGTTATTAATATTCTGGACCACCCTAGGCAGGGATTTTGTGTGTATGTTCGTGTGTGTGTGTGTGTGTGTGTGTGTATGTGTGCGAGTGTCTACACCTCAGAAATTTGTTTCCTCTTTTAATTAAATAAAGTCCATGTTTGTTGGCTTTTAGGGTGGGCTGCAAGGCCCATCTGTTTAGCTAGGCACTTGCCTGATATTGCAGGGGGAGGATTGGCAAGTGTAAGTGTGAATTTGAATACCAGATACAGACTATTTAAAGCTGAATTTATCTTTAATAAATTCACCCAGAGGTGGTGTTCAGCAATAGGTAGTTTGGAAAATGATCATAATTTGTGTAAGAGTCTTTTTTTTTTTTTTTGAAGGTTGAGTGGTATGTGATTGCAAGAAGAAATAGACACAGGGAAGTTCATTTCGATAGTGTTCTCTGCTCCTTCAGGTCTCACCATGAAGGAGGGCAGACAACTTCAATAATTGCTTTTGATGTGCTGGAAGGCAAAATGGCCTTCTATTTCACATGATATAGTACTAACTTGAGAGCAAATAATACATAAACATTTTCTTGATAGTATGTGTTCAAGCAGTCGGCATTTAGGACCAAGGGTTGTCAATTTTTGAGGTTTTTGAAAGGAATTGCAATTTATGACGTGTTAAGGTAAACAGTTGGATTGCATTTCTGAAATACGTGTCCCATCAGGTAAAATCATTGTGATGACAAGCACTGGAACTGTAAGTAAGTTATGTGCTAAAAGGTTGAAAATGTAAAACAAGTATGTCTGTGCTTAACTACTAATCCCTCTTTGTATCTCTGCTGAATAAACTACAAGAAAAGGGGGGAAAGATTTTAAATAATAAAACAGAAAAAGGGTATTATGTAATTTTGATAAATAATGAACATTCATGCAGCTCCAAGAACTGTTTCACCAGTGGTCCAGCCATGGGAGAATATGTTAGAATTCACAGCATTAGGAAAGATTATAAAGACATTCTCTTAGTTAGAAGTTGTTTCTTTGGTTTACTTTTTAAAATTTCCCTTAATGTCTCCATTTTTCGCTTTGTCCTGTAAAGGGGCAGGTTGTCATTTTAACATCCAGACTTCATTTTTCTGAAATGCATTGCAAATAAAAGCAAAGAAGAGAATGGCTTGAAGAGTTGTGCATATGTTTGACAGCAGAAGATAATAAATGTAAATAAATCTTTAATATTTTCCCTAATTCAGTTTGTGCCACGCAAATGTCAGTACTATAAAAACAAATCAACAAACATTTGAAGGAAAACAATATACATAACTTATTTTATATATTAAAAACAACTGTCAAATAATTATGACCTCATGTATTAGTTGGTTGTTTTGAAATATTCCTACTAGAATTAAAAAATGCTACGAGGGCCTTTGAGCTTAAACATATTGTGTCAATCAAGAGCATATGTAATATATCTAAAGCATGAGGTAAAAATTTTCTTCATAAATTATTTCATAAATAAATAAGTAATTTACTTGAAAAAGTTTACAAAAATATTTGTGCTTTTATTAAGTTCTCTAAGATCTTTTGTGGCTAATGGAAATGGATTGATATAGACAGCATTTTGATCTGTTACACTCAAACTTGAAATACAAAAAGTATATGAAGAGATTTCTTCATTTCTTAGGCAAACTTCAACAAAATTGGGTCCGTGAAACTTCATTCATTAAATTTTTAAGTGACCGTGGATTTGTTGGCTTCAGTGCCTGATGTGTAACTTTATCCTTTCAATTAAAGGACATAATTCACCCTCAGACCTTTGGCTTTAACATTTTTTTATAATATATAATTTTGGGTACACTTAATGGTCAAATTTTGTATTATTACAGGTGGAAAAACACCAGCCATCTCAAGGGTTTTGTGCTTGCAAAAGCATGTAATTTAATTTTTTTGAACCAATTTAATCAATGGTTGTTTCTTGTGAGTGAATTTACACTCTTGATGATTGTCATAGATTTGAGGGTGATGGAGAGGAAGATCACTTCCCCTTCTAAAATGTCACTTAAATCTTGGGGAGCAGAAGGAGATTAGGGGACTAATCCTTGCGATATATTGTATTATTTAACTTTGCTGCTAAAATGCTGTAGCCCCAGATTTTATCAGTCAGATACCAGCTTCAGCAGTTTTAGGTGGTATTAACCCTTTAAACACAAATGGTTTCACTACGCAGATAAGTATTTCAAAATTTATTTGATCTAATATTTTTAGTTAGTCATGGCTAAAGAATGTTTCACTCAGATCCTTTTTTCCCCCCTGAATAAAAATGCTTCTCACTGCGCCGTGCATATTTCCATAAAAGCCAGTAATCAAATTTATAGCTGAAAAAAGAAAATAAAAGGTCTATATTTAATATATGAATACTTTTTACAGTGGAAATAGGTGGTGGACAGCATTAAATGACTCGAGTGTGGAAATATGCAGGTGGTCATTAGTAGCTGACTATAAGATTTACTGAAGATTTTGATATTAATTTTCCCTGGAAGCAGGACTTTATATAAATCTCACTCTGTTCCCAAATTAATTTAAATGGATGATAACATATGAATAACTCCATGCATATGAGGTTCATTGTCTTCTCACTCCTTGAGGGAACATATTGTTTGCCTCATTGTGAAACTGGATTTCCACTACTCTTTTACCTGACTAGTTTCTGCACTGCAAGAGAATTATTGCTTTTCTACTCATAAAGAGTGTATGGCATATGCCACCAAAATTCCGGGGGAATAAAAGCGCTACGAAGAGGAATCCCATATCTGCCTGACTAGGTATATTAGCTAGAAATGACGACCTTATAGAAAACAAGACTGATTCCGAGAGCACCTACTTAAATTTTACTTTTTTTTTTTTTTCTGATTGGCTTTTCCACATCTGATAATAGTATGTTTCAAAAATATACTCATCTTTCTCTAAAAAGATGCAAGAATCATTTAGTGAAAAATATATCGGAGGAAATTACTTCATCTTCAGCTCACAGACTGATGATTGTACCTCTCTAAAATTCTAATTTTAATCATTTTGTAGTTTGAAGCAGGAAGATGTTTCTCCTTTTAGCACAAAATTACTTTAAACTGACTTTCACAGGAGGCAAACCTACCCCTTCAAGTCACCCAACTGAAGAAAATGAAGTCCAAAGGCCCAAGAAATGTTGACTTAGTTTTTAACACCTCCTATCCTTTGAATCCTGTCACGGCACTCTTTTATGCATTGTTGATCTTTAGAAGTCAGAGTAGGAAAAAAAAAAAAAAAAAAAACCAAAAAACAAAAAACCCCAAAAAACCACTCCATTCAGTCACTTCACTTGGAGGGACTTTCACTCCACAATGAAAGTCTGAGGAGTTGTGAAGCTGCAGTGTGCTTCACGCCGAGTTCCTCATCTGCCACTCAGCCCCAAAGAGCAGCAGGTATCAGTCGTGCAGAATTTCAATAACGTCCCCATTTATCTCTCTGGTGCCACCCCCCCCCGAACCCCCCAAGGAGCTCGCTCGCTTCTCTCCAGCTCACAAAACCATAGCAACCCCCGTCCCCCCTTCTCCAACTCAGACCAGAGTTCAAGTTGTTCCCGACTCCTGCAGCCTTCGAGGAGGAGAGCTGGGGCGCCCCTGACCCCCCGGCTTGGTGTCCTCAGCCTCCTCCTGTCACAGCGCGGAGAGGGAGGGGCCGCCCGCGCACCCGCGAGTCCGGGCGTCGTCACCCCGGGGAGGGCGCAGGGAAAGTAACCACCGAAAAGGTAAAAGCACTTTTACAAAGAGTTCTCCGGGCCGTCGGCGGCGGTGGCCTCTCCGCGTGTGTGGGACCGTGGGCTCGGCCGCCCCTCAGGGCGGCCCCCCCCCCCCGCCCCGCGCCCCCAGGTAGGTCCCCCGTCTTTCTCGCTTTATTCCCCTCAGCTTTCGGGTTTCTGCTCCCCGGGCCGCCCGCACGTTCACACATGGGGGGTGGGGAGAGGAGGGGGGAGGCGTGGCGGGAAGGTAGCCGGGCCGCGGCGCCGCGCGCCTCTCATTGCGGCGCCCGCACTCGGGAAGTTGTGGCGCAGCCGGCTCGGCGCGGCCGGCCCGGCGGGGGGCGCGGGGCGCGGGGCGCGGGGCGCGGGGCCGGGCGGGCGCGCGGGGCCGCGCGCTGTCTCTTTAAGGCAGCCCGGGCTGGGGTGGCGCTTTCCTCCGCGAAGGCTCCTTTGATATTAATAGTGTTGGTGTCTTGAAACTGACGTAATGCGCGGAGACTGAGGTCCTGACAAGCGATAACATTTCTGATAAAGACCCGATCTGACTGCCATCTCCAGCGTCCTCCGCTCCGGGGCTGCTCGCGGCTGCAGACCCCGCGTCCTCGCGGCCGCGCTCGCTGCCTATTTTTTTTTTTTTTTTAAACAAAAAAACAACACCCCCCCCCTCCTCCCCTCTCCCACCCGGCACCGGGCACATCCTTGCTCTATTTCCTTTCTCTTTCTCTCTCTCGCAGTCTCTGTTTTTTAATCAAGGGGGGGAGAGCGCAGAGCCAGGGTGGGGGGAGGCAGGAAAGACCTTTTTCTCTCCCCCCGCCCCCAATAATCCAAGATCAACTCTGCGAACAACAGAAGACGGTTCATGGCTCTGGCCGCCGCGCCACCATCTTTCGGGCAGCCGAGGGTGTTCTTGACGATTAATCAACAGGTAAGGAGGGGAGGCCCGGGCGGGCCGCGGGGTGCAGGGGGTGCAGGGGGTGCGCGGGGCGCGGCGCCCCTCGGCCGGGCCCGGGGCGCCGCCGGAGCTGCGCCCGCGCGTGTGTGCGCAAAATGTGGGCGATCGCGAGCGGGGAGCCCTGGGAATTAAAAGTGACTTTCTTTGCAAAAAAAAAAAAAAAAAAAAAAAAAAAAAAAAGCAGGCAGAGGGAGAGAGTGTGCAGAAAGCCCAGCTCGGGCTGCTCCGGTTTCACATGCATTTTCTTTCTTCCTTTTTGCGCGTGTGATTTCTTTCTTCCTTTCTTCTCTTCTGCTCTGTTTCCCCCCTTCCTCTGCTCCTTTCGGTGGGTCGGAGGCATCTGAGCCTCCGAAAGGAGCGACTTCAAACTGCAGTAGCCTCCGGAGTCAGGAGGGTCAAGTTCAGCCGCCGGGGAGGAGGAAAAACAAATCCCCATTTGCCAAAAAAAGAAGTTTCAGGCCGGTGCCCCCTCCCCCTCGCAGCCCCACTCCCCCTCGCTGTCTCCTTCTGGCGGATTTTAATTCTCTCCTACCGGGCGCAGCGGAGGAGCTGAAGGTGGCTGCACCCGAGGGGCCGCAGCCGCAGCCGCCGCTGCAAGTTTTCTGGGGCTCCTGACAAGCGGGGAGCAGCCCGGGCGCCAGCATGCAGAGTAGTAAGTTGGGCGCACTTGGAGGGGCCGGGAGGGTGTCAGAGGGGGGCCTCCGAGCGGTGCCCGAGCCGGGGCGCGAGCCCCCGGCTGGCGTGGGCTTGGGAGAGTTTGCAAAGCCAGGCTTCAAACTTTTTTTTCCCCCGAAAGGCCCAGCTGGGCCGGCGAGGGAGGGTGGCGCATCCCCTGGATGCCCCGCCGCTGCGCCGCCCGGGGCTGCTCGGCCGCAGGGTCGGTGCCCTGGCCGTGCCATGTGGCGGGGCCTGGCCGCCCGGGCGCTTCCGCGGGGCCGGGGCCCGGGCCGGGGCTGACTTCCTCCGCGGGGCGCAGGATGCGCCCCGGGTCGCGGGTCAGCGGACACCGGCCGGCGGAGAAGCGCCTGACAGCGGGGGACGCGCGGGCACCCTGGCGTTCGCCTGCTCTCTGGTTCCTGTTTGGGGTCCAGAGAAACGCATCTTTGCAAGGCCAAGGCAGCCACACCACTGTCCCTTCCCATAACTCCAGGATTCTAGCACCCCGGGAATAATTTGAGGGTGAGGCAGAGCGGGAGCTGCTTCAAGTGCAAACGCTGCTGTGTCTGTGTGTGTGTGGGAAAGCGTTTTGTTAGTACCTGGGAGAGATGGTGGGGTCCCCCCTCCACCCCCTTATCCCCAGGGAAGTCGGTCACTGTTTTATGGCCCTAGGACTCTAAAGCAGTTGGAGTTAGAGGACGAGGAGGTCTGGGAATCTTGCACTCATTAAATCTGAGGTCTTGCTTTTACTTCACCATGTCTTTTTAGGCCTCTGAATTGATACTGTGAAAGTTTTTGAGTAGGAGCGATGGATCTTAGTGATGAATCACAATAATGATAGAATATTCATCCTTGTCCTATTTTGGAAAATCACGGCTAGAGTTTTAAGTGAGGTAAGTGAAGTGAGAAGCTTGGCGGAGAAGTTAAATCGCAGACAGCTTAGGCCGTGTCATTGAACTTTTGTGGGTCCATGCAACTTTTCTGGGAGCGCACCAGGTGAACAGGAAAGGGTCTGAGAGCGTTCAGTGCAGAGGGGAAATACAGTTAGGGCCTGGGACAGAATTACAGAGAAATGATCAATCTAGGCCTGGTTTTGGACTCCAACTTGATTGTTCAAAGCAAAAATAAAATAGGAAGCTTCCAGCCACTCTGAAGTTCCCCAGCTCTTAAGTTAAAAACCTATGGATCCTGCTGGCATCTTGTTCCTTTCTTTCTTGCTGGCTTTGGGAAAAGTTGATCATTTCGAAAAGGCTGCCAGAGTTAACAAAATGCAAGGGGCAGCAAAGGAAAGTAATGCGGGCAGCCAGTTCTTGACGTGGACAACATGAGAATGAAAGTTTCTGAACTCACTGTTGAGAAGTTTCTAACATACTGCTCATTTGCTCAGAATGCTTTCCTGGCTATTCCACCGGTTAACTGTAAAAAAGCAGACCAGCTCTAAAATGGGGTGGACTTTTTTTTTTTTCTTTCCCCACGTATGCCAGGGTTGTGAATAAATATAGGTTTTGTATGAGTTGATGAAGAGTTTCCTGTAAGTTATGATGCTGACAGGACAGTCTGGAAATGATACCAACGTTTTGAGGATTTTTTTTTTTTTTACCTTTAAGTGAAAGTTTATTAATGACGTGCTTAATCTTAACAAGTCAAACATATCGTTCTTAGAGCCTATCTCTCCTCAGATTTCATAACTTCCTTTTAAAGCTATACCCTTGGATGAAAACATCTCTAGATTCAGTTAAGCAGACAGGGCCACTAATGTGCTAAAGTTTGACGATTATTTCTGCATGCTAATAATGTGAAAATAAAACTCCAGAGGGGGACTTAGAGTTTTAATGCCAACCTATGACTTGATTTCTCTAAATGTGAGGCATTCCGAAGCCTCATTAATACGCTGTTGGCAAAGTATTATTTACCACCGGCGAGCTGATGTTTACGGCTTCCTGATCTATTATATGTTAGCATGCATGTGAGTAGGGTACCTTTCTAACACATAATAACTAAGTCTGATACTCTCCGACTAAATGGTGGCGTGCGGTAAGTTTCTTACAAAAAAGTTTGTCACTCCTTTGAATTCTAGTCGCTGTGAGGGTCTCTGCTGCTCATTTAGATTTTTATCCTTTGTCTCAAAACTAACATTAGGAGAAAGGCGAAAAGTGTCCTCCTAGCTGTGAAGTCTGAGTTGATTTCTGAGCCCAGCATTTTGATGATTAAACATTTTAAATCATTTTATAACATTTTCTCCATACGTATTTAAAAATAGGGTAGAATACAGATTAGTGGGCTAATCATAGGTGGATCACACAGGTCCCTGCCATATTTTCAGTATTATTTTTACTTTTCTTTTAGGTCACTTACCAACTCCTGACTTTAGTCTGATTTCCACAGCGTAGGTCTCGCTAATACTCATAAGGAAATCTTCATTCATAAAGAGAACCTTCAAAACAGGGAAATGAAGGCATCAGTAGAAAAGCTGCTTTTTAAGATTATAGTATTTCAGTAATGTTTCCGTCACCATCATTATCATTATTTTTGATGTGTGTGTGGGGGGTGTGTGTAGTGAGAGAGAATAGACTACAATTTACAATTAATGATCTGCACATTTCTATTAACAGTGCCAAAGGGTGTTACGTTTTTATAAACTTTTGTCTTACCTTCCTGTTGAAGTAAATAAATAGCACTGAAAGTTTCGAAAGGACTTGTAGTAAATTGTTTTTGAGCTATAACTTTATTTTGAATTTGAAATTGACTTATATATTGATAACTGGCATTAGGCTTGTTTCATTGCACTAACATGTACAGATATTATTTTTTTTTACTTCAGTATTCCCTTTGGTAGCAAATAGTAATGTAAAAACACTGTGCTATTGTGTGTGTAAAACAAAGTAGACCTTAAGAAAGTTATGGACAGGTGTAAAGGGAAAATTATTATTTTTGTAATAAGTGATGCACTTAAAATGACGGGTGCACGTAAAACATATTCTTATTAAGATATTCTCTAGTGTGTAAAATGAAGCCATTCATTCAACAGACTGACAACTTTCCACTTGGTATTTGCCTTTGCTTAATTTAGTTTCCGCAGGACAGTTAGTGTGGTAGTCTGCATCTGTTTTTGGCAGGCGTAGAAAACTATAAACTCAGACAGTTCTGTCCCAAATATCGCAGCTCACAAGTTACAATCAATTTGATAAAAACAGGACCATTTTTTGGACTTGCTTTTTGTTGTTCATCCTTGACCAAGTTTTCAGGTAACAGAGGTTTCTTTCTCTCCCCCTTTTGCTGGTTATAACTAGTAATTTCATTGGTAACTAATTTTGAATCTTGTTTATTCATTTCTTGTTTCTTATTTACTGAATCTGGAGAATTTAATGACAGCAGATCTGACTTGGTTTTACTTTGGTTGTCTATCTGTTTGATAACTATATTCATCTTTTGATGTCATCATACAGAAAAAAGTGAATTCTTTATTATGATATTAGTTATGATTTAGGGAATCGTGGGGTCTCCCTTAGATATGATATGAAAGAAATGCTATAGACATCGACTAGTAGAAATTTAATCTCATTCTCTAAGGGTGCTTGTATTTGTCATATATAGAGAAACCTAACATACTTTGCAATTATTTGCACCGAAAAAAAATTGAGCAGAGTTTTTATAATTACCAAAATTATTTATTGCCTAAAAGCTTTAACCAGTGGACTAAAGTAAATATGCCAAAATGCCAAGTGTTTTAAACTGTTGTTCAGTAGCAAACAGTGCTGCAAGAATAACCACTTTAAAAAATTTATCCTCCAGTGTAAGTGGGTCTTAAGCCGTTTACTTGTAGAGACTATTCTATTAATTATATATGACCTTTATAAATAATGTCTTTAATATGTTATTATATTTAATGTCCTATCGCTCAGTGGTTCTCAGATCTGTGGGAATGAATTCACTCGTCTTTGGTTTGGTTCTCTGATAGGTACAGTAATGTAGAACTTTGATGTAAATTAGAATGAGATCTTTGGCCTTGATCTCATCCCTGAATTTGCTGAAGGATCTGTAGATGAAAACTATTGGAATTAGTAAGAGTTATTTACATGAAGAAGTTTGACTGGCCACTGCAGGTACAGTAGCTATTAAAGTAGTGATAATGACTTATTGTCATTGCACTTTTTTTTTTCTTTCCAAGAGCAAAATTCAAGTAGCAAAAAACAAAGATGAAACTATCTATGTACTTCAAATTTGAAGCATCACTGGAAATCATTTTCTAATTCAAAGCTATAATCGAAATACAGATAACATCAGAACCCTCCAAAAAAAGACATTTAGGATGCGCTTTCCGTTCTTAAGTATGTTTCATTAAATATATATATATATAAAAGAAAGCTTTTAATTTTAAAAAAGTTTCTAGCTCTTTAAAAACCTGCAGTAAATACTTTACAAGTGGCTAGACACCTTCCCTGGTGGTTTAGTTTATACAAGCAGGAAACTTTCTCTCCTACTCTTTCTCTCTCTTTCTTGTTTTCTTTAAACCAACTGACGTAATGCCAAACTTTGCTTTAAAAGAACAGACAGAAGTAATTGGTAGCTTTTAACTTTTAATAATGTTCTGGATTGGTTTTAGTGGCCAAAATGCCATTTTTTTTTTTAAAAAAAAAAGTTCAAGTAAGAACGGGCTTGTGGCCTGAGGAAGAAAAGCTCTGTTGATGCAGTTATTTTTATTCTTGTTTTTCAATCTGTTATTAAAAATCTTTCCTGCTGAGCACTGCTGGATCTCTCCAATCGCTCTCTGTGATGGCTGGTGCATTTCAGGTTACTGTAACTTAAACAGTTTTTGGGTTTTGGGGAGAGTGGATTTTTATATTGTATTATTTCTTTCTTATATGGGGGGGAAAAAAAACATTTGTTTTCGTTTCAATTGAGATAAATTAAGATTATCAATGGCGACAGGTCGATGAATATGTTTATATAAAGAATGCTACACCTGTTAGCAAGAGCCTAAAATGTAGAAGTTTA